TGTACAGGAGCGTATGCGCGCAACTTAGTGACGCCGGCGCAGCGACCACTACAACTACTGATGGCGATGATGACGATGACGACCATCGAGCATGCCCTACACGGATAGGCAAGGAGGCAGACGGCCAGGCAGGCAAGCGGGCAGGCGGACAGACGAGGAGACGAAATCAGCTGTTAAGCACGTGCGCGCGAGCAAACACAGAGATGGACACGCGAGTCTTCTGTCCGCCTTCCCACCTTCCCACCCCGCTTGTCCGCACCAAAGTGGATAGGCTGATAGGCCAGGCTACGTGGCAAAAACATCCCTCCCCCCACGAGGCAGTGCAAACACTGCCACTGCTGATTGCGCTCGAGTGTGCGTCTGCCTCTCCTTCTCACATCTCCAGATGGCGTGTACATGTAAATACAAATAGTGCAGACTAGACTACATTAGACTAGACTGCACAGACAGCTGCTGCTGCTACTACTGCTACAGCCGCCAGTGCACACATCTGCGCCAAAATCAGTGGCACCTGATAACGTCAGACCACGCTCCCTGTGGCTACGCTAGACTAGACTAGACTAGACTAGACTAGACTAGACTAGACTAGACTACACTGGGCCCTCCTCCATTACTGCATGTAAAAGTACACGAAGTAATTAATGACAGTGCTTGCTTTTATCTGCGTTGACACAGACATAATTAAATAAACAATAGTTTATTCAGCCAAGCATACAAATAATCGGCTCTACGTAGAGATCATTTACATCAGTGCTAGCGGTCTATGGTCGAACTGTCCTTGAAAGGGCGGAAGCTACCGATTATCATAAGCAAATAAGCATCGTATAGCGATACGATAGGCGAGATACTACGAAGTTGAATGTAAAACGACAGATGGGCGCTAAATACAGGTGCTCGGAATTGAAAGTGATGCGACCAAAATCCAGCACTACCAAGATAAGCACGCACAGATATTCATGACAAGGACGCGAATGCGGACACGGTCAAGTGAAATATCCTTTGGCTTTTGCATAAATAAACCTCATCACTCAAGAGCACAACAATGCCGGCATTCAGAAAGTGCAACAATTGGCAATACCATCGCAAAGACATCGGGAATTTGAACAGATAGAAAAGAGTGGATGTGGCACACAATGTTTCTGAAACATCCACTAGTAGTGTCATTACGCAAAGCTATCCACACCGGGAATACTGACATGAAGCACGCAATTCCATTCAACGACTTTTTTGAAAAGCATCCCCATGTTGAAGCAGTAGATTGGAGTGGTCGAACCGACAGACAAAAGCGATTGTTAGGTCTGCACATAGACACGGGGTCAGAGGAGAACAGCACACGCATGAGTGCGGCAATGATCGCATTAAGGTCACCACCGAACAATAAATCATGAGACAATGAACAAATACGCTTGGTAACTGAACGCCATAAGTGAGGCACTTCACTTTGAACGTCTACCATCGCAGATAGCTTTTCTCAACCACTGTTTCACTATAGGAACACAATGTACCTGAAAAAAAGACCTGAGTTGTCACTAAGAAGGAAGAAAATGGGTTTCAGATACGCACAAAATTACCGAAGCAAAATCAAGGTGACCAAGAGCAACTCACGCCCACATTTACGTCTCGGTAAACCCCAGCTGACGGCCATGAAGAGAGCAATTTTACAGCTTACGAATTTCTGGGTCCCTACTAACCTACCTTCAATGACCAAAGCCAACTAAGACCATTCGAGTAAGTCTAAACACGAGTTCCCTTTGACAGAGAAAAAGAGGATCTAAATTTTAAGTAAAGAATAGGAAATAAGCTGCTCTAAATTCATCAACGTCCTCGAAGCCTACAAAAACGGCATTCAACCCTCTAGTTCACGAAATTGTCTTCCTCCAGCCCTCTACCACTGCAATCATACACTTTCATCTGCTTGAGGGCATCCAAAGCAACATGAGGGAGGCAATGAGAAGCAGCGTTTTACTTGAATTTCTTAGACATGCTTTAGATAAAAAAATTACTTGTCAATCTGAATTCCCAACCAAATATTCTGCTCCTTTTAACCAACTCGTCAAAGAAGCGCAAGTGAGACACCGACCTCCTAACCCAGAACGCTATGCTGATTAGTACATGCATTGGGAAATCGTCGGACGAAAGTAGTTAAAGGAAAAAGGCTAGTAAATCTAACGAAGGAAACGCTACATGAAATGACATGAAGGAAAAGTCCGGTGATTTTCGTCAATGAACCTAATGAAGGAAACGCCTAAAAGTTTAATGTCTCGCCAATGATTGCCAAGGCAACCCAGACACAACATTACATTCATAAGAAGAAATTGGCGTCTCACACGTATACCAAAGTATATACAATGGTTATAGCAATTCAGAATTCCGTAAACGCTGTATAAAATTGTGGTTAAATGAAGCTCAAGAGCTAAACACTACACAGTAACAAATTGCCCCAGCACCATTTGCAAAATAAGCACGGAAAAAAAAGAAAAGTTTAGAAATTCCACAAACCGAAATTGCTGTTTTGTGTCCTACGGGCGTAGTTATGGACAGTCTTAATACGAAGTAGAGCTAAGAATAATCAGTACTTCATGTAGGAATGCAATGACAAACAAATAATCAAGTGACTTCAACAGGCGATAATGTAATGAACGGTTTTGAGGTATAAAACATCACCCTCGTACTGTAGTAAAATGATGGTCAATAAGTCGATGCGCTGTTGGGCCAACTTGACTAATGCATAGCAATTGCCACATGTCTATGCAAGTCCCGATTCATTATCCACATAGAGACTACTCCTTAAAATCTGCGAACAATAACTGCACTCAAGGACAACCCGGCAGGTATGGCTCCAAAAAACTAGCCCTCACTCACAGAAGGTTGCTCCATTGCTCCACTGTATCACACAAACAGTAACTATCATAAATGGAGACCGCGAGTTGCGAAAACACTAACGAAGGCCAACAGAATCGCGTTTATTAGAAAATACAAGCGATTTTAAGAGTCGATGAACAAAATACCAACTGACCATGAAAAAGCGTTGCTCGTAAATAGAAGAATATCAAATACGAGTTGAAGTAGGTAGGTTAAATGCACAATTAAACCAATCAATGCACGTAATTCGAAAAAAATAGTAGCAGCAAACGAAAAACGATTCATTTGTATCTTAACCAAAACGGCACAGTAGTGTACAGGCTGGCGTTCACACACAGCCTACAAAAAACCAAACAGTCGCAAAGGCTTTCACGTAGAAAGCCGACACAAGCCACCAAGAGTGCTAGAACCTGATCATCTAACAAAGGGTGTCTCTACCGCATCATGCCACCCTACAACCTCAATCTGATTGAGGCAAGAACAAAATCTGGCTACAGCATAGGATAGCATGGTGACATATATCACATCGAAGTGGAAAAATAAATGGCGTACCAAGTATCACGTGGGAAACCCAGCCGTAACAACAGATTGGAGGCGTAGCTTAAAGTTGCAGGCTAAAAGGAGACCGGGCTGAATATAAGAGCGCTTTAGCCCAATCAGCAATCGGTATGCTGAATCTTAAATTCCGTCCTGCAGAAGCTATTCAAGTAAATGACTGAAATTATGGCTTTGGTCATTTTACAATAAACAAGGAAAATTTTGCAAATCCTGATTCGAAGTGGTTAGTTTCAACCAAAAAGCACAGGAATTGCAATCCCCCCAACTTTCCCTATCGCTAATATATATATACATATCTGTTAAGGATTGAATAATCTTGTTAAAGTGGAAATTTAGTATGCAGTGATTGGTGATCTTAATGCCCTTTTGAAGGCGAGAGAAAACGTAATGCGGCATCCAGAGACTCCCCTGAGGACGAAAAAAGACAACACTTGGGCAGAGTACATACGTTCAGCACACAGAAGGTATTTGGGCTACTGGCATGGCCTGAGGGCCAGCCCACCCGACGTGGTACAAAGACCAAGTCCAGAGCGGCTCCCCGCCAATACCGGGAGATAAACAACCATCGTATTACAGTAATGCTTGAGCAGAATATATATAGATATTCAATAAGCAGAAGTGTTTGTGCCGACTTGCACGACCCAGAGGACAGCCCACCCGGCGAAGGTATAATGGCCAAGACACAAAGTGGCACTTTACCAAAACTGAGAGTTAATCGACCTACTGGCCATTTTTAAAGAACTGGGTGAAATCCCACCACATGATACATGACTGGTTTTGGCCAGTATTCCTGCCAGACCCAATAGAATTGCCAAGAGAAATCTGTGACTTCGTGGTCAAGTATCTACCCAATTGCATGGAACTTTGATGACTGGAATGGTTGACGCGTTTGTGTTTTCTTCCAGCACTGCTTGTTGCACAGTCCTTCTTTTTTTGAGCTTCGTCCCCGACGCTTCCCCTCGTCAAACTCCCGCGTCAGCCACCACAAAGCAGTCAGTGCTGGAAGAAAATGTAGCGTCCCGAGACTCCCTAAAGACGAAAGAA